CCCAGCCTCGGCCAGGGCGCCCCAGGACGGGGCCCCGGCCGGGCCGCGGCCGCGGTGTGCAGGTCGTCCCTCCCCCCCCCCCCCGCACCCCTTCTGCGCAGAGGAGGTCAAGCAGTGGCGAAGCGTCCCGGCTTGCCTATAGGCCCACCGAAGAATGTTCTGAGAACCTTTTGTGGTCGACACGAACTGCTTCGTAGAACATTCCTGGCTGAGACTGTCTTCCTTTGACACATCGGGCTTATGTTCTCAGAACAGCGTTCATGTTATTAAAGCATTCTGGGGTTCTCAGAACATGTCGTGGTAGGCCTTTACGGATGCCGGGACTGTTGGTCCTTGCTCAAGGAGGGGGGACAGTCGGTCAAGCGGCGGTCAGACGGCGCATCCGCAAATGAGAGCTGCGCATGCAAGCCTGCGGGGGGAGAGCGGGGGCGGGCGGAGGGGACGGATGGGGGAGCGAAGGGGTCAATGCCGAGGCCGCTGCTCCCAGGCCGGAGTCTCTGTCGAGGGCAGTCGTCCACCGATGGGTTTCCCATAGTTCCCAAATGATTCAGGAGGAAAAGAAACACACAGACACAATTAATCCTCGATCCCCCAGAGAATATGGGAAAATATGGGAAGTGGTGGGGAAGACAAAAACCCAGAAAATATAGGAAAATATGGGGAATATTTTTATTTGTGTGTATTTATTTGTGTGTCCCAGGGCCCCTTCAATGATGGAGAACCCATAGGTCGCCAGATCCCCGAGGTGTCTCTGGCGATCTATGGGTTTCCCATGATTCGCAGGCCTTCGGGGAGAGCCCGGCCGTGGCCGCGAGAGCTCTCCGGGGACGAGCGGCGGCGCGCCGCCCCAGACATCTCTGATGTGTTGGTTCTTGTCCGGCGCGCGGCCCCCGGGAAGGCCCGCCCCTATCCCTGGGGCCGGCTCTTCCTCCCGAGCCCCTCTCTGACGGTCGCTCCCGTCGTCAACTGCAGTCGAGCGTGACGTCGGGCCTGTCCCGCTACAGGAGGATTGTTCAAGAGCAGTCCAGACATATATGCTTGACTGCTCTTCTGACAACGAGAGCAGGTCTGGATTATCTTGACAATGTGAGTGAGCATTTTCAAATCGTTATTTTTGGACCATGTGAGCATTTTTCGACCATCCTGTATTTTTCGCCCAATATGTCTGTAGGGAGACGTGCCCGACCTAAGCCGAGCGCTCCCGCGCCACGGCTGGCCGCGCTCGTCGGCCGAAGGCTGGCCTCGAGAGGAGAGCCGGAGGGGACGCAGGGAGCGATGGGGTCCTGGAGCCCAGCGAGCGCCCCCACGGAGGCCGATGACCGTCGTCGTCGTCGTCGTCGTCGTCGTCGTCGTCGTCGTCGTCGTCGTCGTCGTCGTCGTTATCGTCCTCGTCGTCGTCGTCGTCGTCGTCGTCGTCGTCGTCGTCGTCGTCGTCGTCGTCGTCGCCCGACGCCCGCCGCCCGCCTGGATTTGTCCCCGACCCTGCGGAGGACCCAGAGATCCAACGCATTGAAACAATCCAGACGGAGGCTTTTCGCGAATTTCGGCCCCTCGGGGCCCTCGCCGGGCCTCGAGGCCGTCCAAAAACGACTCGGGATGAAAAAACGGGTCCTGGGGATTTGGTCGAGACTTCCGTGGACCCCTTATTGAAACAATCATGACATCGGATCTCTGGGGAGTTCCCGTTTCGTGGTCCCCTGGGGGTGGGGGCTCCGAGGGGGTACCCCTCGAAATCTGGCCCCGGCCACAGGCGGGAGGACGGCAGAAGTCTCGCAGGTGCGGCTTCGCGCGATACGGACGGCCCCAGGAAGCCGCAGGAGGGCCCAGAACGGCACAAGATGGCTTCCAGGACGCTTTCGAGAGAGCCAGGATGACCTCCAGACTTCCCACATGTGCTCTAAGGTCAGGGTTCGTGGCTCTATCAGCTTTTCAATGCGCTGGAGGTCTGCGGCCCGGGCGTTGGACCTCCAGCGGGTGCGTTCTGGGAGGGTGCGTTCTGGCCAGGACTGCAAGGCGACTCTAGCCATGCCTTTTTCCCAGAACGGGTGTGGGCCCAGGGTTCTCTATTAGTTGTGTAAACTGTGCCGGGCTAATAAAAAGTTGAGGAAGTCTCGAGCGAAATGCTGCTTATGTTTGTTTAAAAAATCCGATCGATCAAACACATGGTAAAGTAAGCATTGTCGTTTGTTGCGGATATCTCGAGCGAAACGCTTGTTTTACAGAATTTGTTGAGGGCGTCTCGAGCGAGACGCTTGTTTTGTGTTATAGATTGTTCCCCTCCTGGGGGCCAGAATTCAGAGGATGTCTCAGGTGCAATGCTTGTTTTCACGTGCCCAGGTCTTGAGGATGTCTCCAGCGAGACGCTTGGTTTCACGCGTCCAGGTTGCCCAGACAGATGTCGAGCATGAGGACTGGTTGAGGATGTCTCGAGCGAGACGCTTGTTTTCACGAACCCAGGTCGCCCAGGCGGATGTCTAGCATGAGGAGGTGTTGAGAATTTGTCGAGCGAGACGCTTGCTTTCACGTGCCCAGGTCGCCCCGGCGAATGTCTAACATGAAGATGTGTTGAGGCTGTCTCCAGCGAGACGCTTGCTTTCACGTGTCCAGGTCGCCCAGGCGGATGTGTAGTATGAGGAGGTGTTGAGAACGTCATGACCTAGACGCTTGTTTTCACGTGGACAGGTCGCCCTGGCGGATGTCTAACATGAGGATTTGGACATGATGTCTCGAGCGAACCTCTTGTTTTCACGTGTTCAGGTCTCCCAGGCGGATGTCTAGCGTGAGGAGGTGTTGAGGACATGTTGAGCAAAACGCTTGCTTTCACGTGTCCAGGTCGCCCATGCGGATGTCTAACATGAAGATGTGTTGAGGATGTCTCGAGCGAGACGCTTGCTTTCACGTGTCCAGGTCGCCCAGGCGGATGTGTAGCATGAGGAGGTGTTGAGAACGTCATGACCTAGACGCTTGTTTTCACGTGGACGGGTCACTCTGGCGGATGTCTGACATGACGATGTGTTGAAGGTGTCTCGAGCGAGACGCTTGTTTTCACGTGTCCAGGTCGCCCAGGCGGATGTCTAACATGAGGATTTGCTGAGGATGTCTCGAGCGAAGCGTTTGTCGCAGTAGAGTGCGTCGCAGTCCAACCTCGCCCGTCCGTGGGTTGTCCCCTGGCGGGTTGGCGCGTCCCCTGGCGCGTCCCTTGCGACGTTCTGGCGTGACGTGCCCCGGCACGCCCCCTATCACGCCGCTCGGTGTGGCACGTTCCCTGGCTCGTCCTTTGTCGCGTTTCCTGGCTCGTCCCCAGGCGTTTCCCCTGCCCGTTCCGTGGCGCGCGCCTTGCAACGTCCCTTAGCATGGCGTCCTCTGGCCGCCCCATGGCACGCGCCTCGGTACGTCCAGTGGCAGGTCCCTGACACGTCCAGGGCACGTTCACTGATACGTCCCCTGGCACGCCCCCTGGCGCATCCCGTATTGCGCCCCTGGCACATCCTGTGGCGCGTCCGTGAGCCTGTGCCCGGTGTCATGTCGTTCCTTTTCGGAGCTGAGTCGGATTTTGAGGTCGAGTTGATTGAACGTCCCGCACGTGGCCACTTCAACTAGCACTGGGGCAGCTACAATGTGCTCAGGCAGCTCGAGCTTAAGATCCAGATCAGCTCGGTTAGGACTCGGAAGCAAAGGAGGACTCGATCCACAAGGCTATGAGATTGTTTTTTTATCCTCTGGGGGGTAACGCTCGTTACCCGGGCCTCTCCCCCCCCCCCCCCCCCCCCCCCCGTAACGGTACCGCTCGTACGCGGGGGGGGTCTCGGTCTTCCCCTCCAACATGCTGGTGCCCGAAGGCATGCGCACTGTGGTGTGGTGGTCGCAGGCGCACTGTGGGCGCTCGCAGGCCATTGCGGCGCTCGCATGCGCGATGTTGGTGCTTGCGGGCTTTGCGCTTGTACTCGAATCGTCGTCGTCGTCGTCGACGGCGCCCGAAAAACGGCCTCCGGAGTCCGACAAAGGCACAAAAACAACGTCGTCGTCGTCGTCGTCGTCGTCGTCCTCGTTCGTCGTCGTCGTCGTCGTCGTCGTCGTCGTCGTCGTCGTCGTCGTCGTCGTCGTCGTCGACGGCGCCCGAAAAACGGCCTCCGGAGTCCGAAAAAGGCGAAAAACGTGTCGTCGTCGTCGTCGTCGTCGTCGTCGCCATCGTCGTCGTCGACGGCGCCCGAAAACGGCCTCCGGAGGGCGAAACAGGCGGCAAACGTCGTCGTCGTCGTCGTCGTCGTCGTCGTCGTCGTCGTCGTCGTCGTCGTCCTGCTCTATGGCCTTCCCCCCTAACATGCTGGTGCCCGAAGGCATGTTGTGCTGCTCACAGGTACACTGCGGTTCTCGTGTGCTACCATGGCACACGCAGGCTTGTGCGGGGTGTTCGAGGACGAGTTGCGCTGCTCGCGAACGTTTTCGGTGCCGACACGGTTTGGCATGCTGTTGTATACGCGCGCGTTGTGGCGTTCGCAGGCACGCTGGTGGTTCTCTAGCGCCCGCTCACATGTGTGCCGCCGCGGTCGCCGGTGCTCACACGCATGGCGCCTTGACCGCAGGCGTGGCGCGGTGATCACAGACCGCGATGGCGGGGATAGGAGGAGGAGGAGGAGGAGGAGGAGGAGGAGGAGGAGGAGGAGGATGGGGAAAGACAGTTTGTCATCCAACTTGCTCGCAGCCTGGAGGTCCCCACATAGCGGGGCTGGCGCGGAATTGCATCGACGCGGCGGCGACCCCAGCGCGGGCGTTCATGGTTGAATGCTGCTAGGGGGGCCCACTCGGGCCCAAGAGGGTGCCTTCCGAGAAAGCATGCCTGCTTCAGTGTCTGTTACTATTACTCCAGCCTCTGACGTGTTCGGAAATCTTGTGTGTATTTGTGTGCCAAGGCGCTTGTACGGCCTCTGGCGCATTCAGTGCACAGGGCCTTCCCGCGCAAATAAGTATAACAGGATCTCTGATGCTATCTGTTGTCTTGTTGTCGGGCTGGGCCCTGACTGGGGTTCAGACGCGCAAGTTTTCCGAGCCGCGTCAAGCCGCGACGACGACGAGGGCCCTCGTCGTCGTCGTCGTCGTCGACGGCGCCCGAAAAAAAACGCCTCCGCATGCCGAAAAAGACGGGAAAACGTCGTCGTCGTCGTCGTCGTCGTCGTCGTCGTCCTCGTCGACAACGGCGCCCGAAAACGGCCTCCAGAGGCCGAAAAAATATCGAAAAACGTCGTCGTCGTCGACGTCGTTGACGGCGCCCGAAAAACGGCCTCCAGAGGCCGCAAAAGGCGAAAAACGTCGTCGTCGTCGTCGTCGTCGTCGTCGTCGTCGCCGTCGCCGTCGCCGTCGCCGCCGACGTCGTCGTCGTCGTCGTCGTCGTCGTCATCGTCGTCGTCGTCGTCGTCGTCGTCGTCGTCGTCGTTTTCATCGTCGTCGTCGTCGTCGTCGTCGACGGCGCCCGAAAAACGGCCTCAGGAGTCCGAAAAGGCGAAAAACGTCGTCGTCGTCGTCGTCGTCGTCGTCGTCGTCGTCGTCGTCGTCGTCGTCGACGGCGCTCGAAAACGGCCTCCGGAGGCCGAAACAGGCGGCAAACGTCGTCGTCGTCGTCGTCGACTTCGTCGCTCGTCGCTCGTCGCTCGTCGATCATCGTCGTCGCGCGCGCGGGCGCGGGCGTGGTGCCGGGACCACGCGGCGGGCTTTGCGCTTGTACTCGAATCGCAAACCACTGTGGTGCTCTCAGGCAGAGAGTGCTGCTCGCGCGCATACTATGGCGATCGCAGAGCGCCCCTGCCTCGCCATACCCCGCCCAGCCCAAGCGTTACCGTTACCCGAGGGGCACGCCCCCCCCCCCCCCCCCCGGGTAACGAGCGTTATCGGCCAGAATAAAAAAAACAATCTCTATAGAGCACAATCGCGGCATGGCACATCGCACTGCAGCACGACGCAGCACAGCACAGCCCTTGACCAGGTACATCAAGATCGATACTCTCAGCATTGCAATTGCCCGTCATCCAATCAGGTATCTTGAAAACGTTGCCATGCCCTACATTTCTGTATTACTTTTTCGGGTGCGTTGGTCGATCATGTTTGCTGTGGACCACTGCAATGACAGGCTGCACGAAGCGACTGGCAAGCAGGCTGGAAAGTGCTAAGCGGAAGAACCTGGTCTGAAAGTCAAGAAACAGGCGGCATGGAAACGGGCCTCCACGTTCAAACTCAAACATGAAGCAACCATAGCAATGGCCTGAAAGCGGTCGGCCAAGGGCCAAGGGCTTGCTTCACTAAGAGTACGAATGGGAAAATGCGCAAGACTCCAAGTTGGAGACCACGGAATGGAAATCCAGATCCCCAGAGAAAGCAATGATCATCGCGCCTTCACGCTGAAACTCCCGCACACTCCACGAAGCCGAGTGGTACCTGGCCTCCAGGCGTTTCCATTGCCGCACAGGAATCTCCTTCGACACACCCCTGCAATGTGCCAGAACTTCGCGCAGCCCATTACGCTGTGAAGCCCTGGGATACCGAGGGCTTCATGGCGTCTCCATCACCTGAAGCCGCAATCGCACTCGAAGCACGCTCCAGCTTCAGAAGAAGAAGGAGAAGCCGTGCCGACATGACTCCCAAGCAGACTCTTCAGAGACGGACCCTCGAGACCAGGCACATGGCTGAGCCTCAAGACTTCCTTCAATGTCCTGCTCAAGATCCGGATGATGACCCACATCTCCTGCATGCCAAGAAGAGGGTGGGCCCCCGACTTCGTGTGCATCGGAATCCTCGCTGGCGATGTTATGTTCTTCTGGGCGGTCGGGGGGGTCGGCGGACCCGTGATGCCACCCTCCCCTCTGGGAGCACCGACCCAAACTCCTCCCTCCGTCCTGATCCTCTTCGGCGAGGTCGCCGTGCGTCTCGGCGGATCGCTCCTCGCCAGAGGCGGAGGAGGCGGCGGCAGCGCAGGGGTTGCCTCCGCGTGAAACCTCTCCTCCTCCAGGCGCGACTTCGACTCCGCATCGATCCTCGAGAACAGCGTCACATTGGGCGCCGTCCTGTCCTTGGGCAGATGGACGGGCGGGGGCGGGGGCACCGCCAACACCTTGGCCCCATTCATCTCCGTGCCCTTCCCGTGGCTCTTGTTGTCGTAGCCGTCTTGGTATTACCCTCCCTATACTTCTGCTCTTCCTGGCACGCTTCCTCTCTGTGTTCCTACCCTTGCTGCTTCACGCGCTTGTTTTCCCTGTACTTCCTGCTCTTCCTGGCACGCTTCGACTCCTTGGCCACCACGGTGGTGGTGGGGACCTCGGGCACGAGCTGGAAACGGGCCGGCAGGGCCACCGCAGCTGGTGGCGGCGCTGGCAGAGGCGGGTGCACGGCGATCTTGCTCGTCGAGGCGCCGCTCCAAGTCTTCGGAGCCGATGTTCGCAGGCGATTTCTCTCCCCGAATCCCCGACTTCCGCCAGAAAAGTTTGGTCGCTCAGAAAAGGGGAGGAATCTTGGGATACACCCCGAGGGGGCTATTCGGACGTACCCCTATCGAGGATGGACGCCCCCCCTCGTATATCCCAGGGTTGGGCCCCAATTTTTTTATCCTCTCGAAAACCTCACGAAACCTGGGATAGGGGTCGGCGCATCCCCTGTTAGATGTTCTGCCGTGGGTGACGGCAGAAGGCCTGACGACACAGCGGACTTCATTTTCGCATCCAATGGGGGCCCTGAAGTTGACGTCCGCGAAGCCATGCCACGGCGCAGTACACAACCCCGAACTTCGACTCCACGATTTGGCGGAGCCGCTCAAGCCAGCACAGAATCTGTTGCAGCGTCGGGGCGCTCGGGCGGGGCTTCGCAGCGATGGCCACGCAGCTCGAGCCCGAGCGGCGGCTTGAGACTCCAGCCATGGCGACGCGGAGGAGGAGGACGAGGACGAGGACGAGGACGATGAGGAGGAGGAGGAGGAGGAGGAGGAGGAGGAGGACGAGGACGAGGACGAGGACGAGGAGGAGGAGGCCGACGGAAAGCTAAGCATGCCCGAAAGGCAGCACTTCGGACCCCGATCATCCCGAGGAGTCCGGGCCCTGCGACGACTCGGCGCCCCTGGGCACCGTGGAGACCGACCCCTCCGGGGAGCTGGGCCTCTCCGAGGACATGGGGCCCGGGGACCTCCCCGTGGAGCTCGGGCGGCACGTGGTGCCGGATCGCGTGGCGATCATCGCTGAGTGGGTCTTCGAGGACTTCAATTCGATGGCTCTCGGAGAAGAAAGAACGTCGGACGGGGTTGGGACGACGAGGACGAATCCGTTCCAGAGCGTTCTGGAACGCTCTCAGAGGGCTCCGGAACGTTCTGGCCCTCGGAGGCGAAAGCTATCGGCTTCCGGATGGGGTCGGAGTAGGTGGGGTCGGCGGATCGCGCCGCATCGCCGATGCATCGGCGATGCGGCTCGACGCGGAGCCCGATTTTGTCCACGCCGACATCGTCAATGCGTCGCCATGCATTGGCGATGCATCGCCGATGCATTGGCGATGCGGCGCGACCCCCGACCCCATCTACTCGGACCCCATCTCGGAGGCCTCTGAAAGAACGGCATGAACTCAGAGGCGGAAAAGGTACCGACACCGCCACACTTCATCGTTTTCCCCTTTTTGTTGGGCCTCGTGCGAGGCCCTCGTCGCTACGGCTGCATTCGCTTTGAAGTTCTGGCTAGAACGCACTTCAGGAGAGGTGCGGGGAGTACGGTGAAGGCGTTGGGGAAGGAATGTGCGCAGGAGACTTCAGACCCCGGATGATTATTTGTCCGATGAGGGCGGCAGTGGTATCCATGGTCAATCAACGATTGGAGTTCCGCCGGCTTCCAAACCCTGGATTCCTTATCCAGCGTTTCCTTGTCCCACTCCCTCACCTTAGGGGCACATGCATTTGAAATTGAAGAAGCCAGAAGGGGGCCAGTTGAGACAACGGCGGCCCTCCCTCGCTCAAGGGAGGGAAAACCACCCGGACCGGACAACTCGCGTTTACTAAACGGCCCTGGGCGTTTACTACACAGCCCTGCCCTGTTCGACTCCTTCTCTGGGCGCGTTTACTAAAAGGCCTCGCGTGTCGGGGTGATTCTTATCGGGGTGGATCTTCCTGCCCTCTGCTCGCGTTTTTGGGTTCTTCTTGGGCCTCCTGGGGACTCCTCGTCGCCACGGCTGGACCCGCTTCGGAGAACCAATCGCACATAGGCCCTGGGACGGGTCCGGGGGCCCGCCTCTGAGCGAATGTGGGCCAGGTTGGGGGCCGCGGTTGTCTCCACTGGCCTTGCGTCGGGCTTGTTCCTCTACAGGAGGAATATCAAAACATGATCAACAAAAATAGCCAGGGGATGATGTTTTTTTGACTATTTTTGAGCATGTTGGGAGCATTTTTTGCAAGTGTATTTCCTCATTCTTCACCCGACATCCCCCTGTAGGGGGACAGGCCCGACCTAAAAGTAGCAGCATCAACACAAACTTTCGGAGCTCCGCGCGGATTTTCCTTGTGGCGCTGGGCCCTGGCTGCGCCTCTGGCGCCGCCCCTGAGCGCGCTCAGAGCGCCAGAGAGGGAGGTCCAGCGCCGATCCAAGAAATCTGCGCGGAGCTCCGCAAGCGTACGTTTGTGGAGCTGTCTCTTCTTCAAGGCCCGCTATGTCGACATCCCCGCCCCGATCGTCTCGAGGCCCTACCAGGAGCGGCCGCCCCCGTACCTCGCGACGATCCGCCCCCCCCCTCCTCCGCACCCCCTCCCCCGCCTCGTCTCGGCGGTCCACGAACGGCCTTGGGGCATGGGGCCCTGAGTGCTTCCTAAATGAGGTTTCCCCCCCACTCTGCGGCCTCCTCCGTCTCCTCCTCCTCCTCCTCCTCCTCCTCCTCCTCCTCCTCCTCCTCCTCTTGCATGCGGGCTAATTCGCGACTCCGTGCCCCGGTTTCGCTTGGACGCGCGTGCGGATTGCTGTTGCCGCGCTGCGGCGGAAAAGTTTTTCTAAATTAGAGACGCCAGCGAATGGGATACCTGGGACCGCGGGGTTGCATTCAAGACTTCGAGGTGCAAGTGAAAGTGCCGTCCGACGGCGAGACCATGATAGGTCCGACATGGTCTTCCGTCGGTTCCCACAAGTCGCACGTCCCGCACGCGCATGAGCAAAATGGGCAGCGCTTCGGCAGCACCCGGCAAAAGTCCGGTCGGCGGAATGGGGGAAGTATGGCAGATGCGGAGCCAGCCGGTCTTACAACGGTTGTCGCTGCCTCCGCCCAGTCCCAGCTCCAGCAGTGGCGAGACGTCCAGGCCTGCCTACGGGGCCCACCATCGAATGTTCTAAGAACCTTCTGTGTCTTGGACGACCGTTCTCCAGATCATTTCTGGCTGACACCGTTTTGGTATGAGACATCTGGTTCAAGTTCTAAGAGCTTTGTTTTGTTATTGGAACACTCGTGGGTTCTAGAAACATGTCGTGGCAGGCCTATCGGAGTGCCGGGGCGGGTGGCCCCTGCTCAACCAACGCGCGCGAGCGGCGGCCGCCGTGCACCTTGCACCAAGTGGGCGGCACAACTACACGCTGAATCTGAAGCCGAATCACGCGCGAGGTGTCACCTGACTTCCCATACCAACATGGCGACTTCTTCGCTGTGGCAGCCCGATATTCTCAACGCCGACTCCTCGGATTCATCGCCGATGCATAGGCGATGCATTGACGATGCGGCCCGATCCTCCGACCCCATCTACTCAGATCCCATCTGGGAGATTTCTACCTACGCAGATCTCGCAATGCCTGCGCCCCCTCGCGCGGCGTGTACGTTGTCGCTTTCGCTTATGGCGGCGATGCGAAAATCGCATGTTACGTTGGACGTTCAAGCGCGCGCTAGGCATCACACGACACCCCAGGCCTTGGTCGCCACTTCTGCGTCTTGGCCCTTTCCGCGCAAGCGCGGGTGCCCTGGGTGACCCGGGTCGCCCGCGCGCGCGCGTGAGTCGATGCCTCGTGCGAGTCGCCTATGCTGGACGCTGTAGGGCTATTGGGCTATAGGGCCATTAGGGCCATTAGGGCTATAGGGCTGTAGGGAGAGATGGGTGCTGGTTCACGTGGACGACCATGTGATGCGCGCTAAGGGTTCAGTCGATTCGGCGGCGAATTCCAAACCCTACTCGCCGATCGATGATGCCGGCAACTCGATGGGCGGCAGGGGTAGGGTTGGGACTTCGTCGGGCACGTGGCGAAATCCGAACCTTACCCCCGCCTCCCACCGATTCAGGAGAGTCGATGGTTAGCGGGGAGGGTTCGGATGTCGCCACCGAATGAATTCTTAACGCTCCGTGTATCCCCACCAGCATGTTCAGAAACCCTGCCCGTGAGAGCGGACGGGACAAAGGACGAAGAGAGACACATAGTGAAACAAAGCTCGGCTGATCCATGGAGAACGGGCGCGAGGGGAGGACGATGAGGAGGGGGAGGAGGAGGAGGAGGAGGAGAAGGAGGAGGAGGAGGAGGAGGACGACGAGGAGGATGAGGAGGAGAACGAGGAGGCAAACCTCCTCTTGGGGCCCTCGTGGGACGCTCTCGGAGCGCTCTTGGGGCCGTCTTTTGGCCCTCTTGCCATCTTGAGGCGTTAAAAGCGCATCTGAAACGACAGAGCGAGACGGCAAGATCATTGATGTGCCTTAGGTTGTTGAAGGATGCTGGCCTCTTGGAGAGGTCCCGGGGTGGAGGCTCCGAGGGCACTCGGAACCGTATTGAGGCCCTCGCTGGGCCTCCTGGAGGTGTGTCGGGAGCTGTCTTGCCTTGAGAGCGCGAGGATCGCCACGGGAAGGTTGCTCGTCGTGGAAGGGGTTGGGTCAGGGCGTGCCGAGCCCAGACCCCCGACGTCATGATTTTCTTCGTGACGCGACCCCCAGAGGTCCAGACCCATTCGCCGGGACCAGTTTTTCATACTGAGTCGGTTTTTGGACGGTTCCGAGGCCCGGCGAGGGCCCTACGAGGCCGAACATAGCGAAAAACCTCCCGTCGTGATTTTGTTCAGGACTCGAGGGTGTCTTGGAGGGGCCTCCTCTCCCACCTTTGCCTCCCCTGCTTCCGCGTCCGCGCCCCAGAAGCTTGTCGTGCCAATCTGAGTTCTGACCTTGTGCGTGATCCACGCATGTGGGAGCACAGCATTACACAGTGCTGTCAGCGTCCACGCGCCTCTGGCGTATGACTTGTGTCAAGCAGTGGCGAAGCGTCCGGGCGTGCCTATAGGCCTACCAAACAATGTTCTAAGAACCGTTTGTGGCTTCCACGAACTGTTCTTTGAACACTTCTGGCTGGGACCATCCTGTTTTAACACATCGGGTTTGTGTTCTAAGAGCAGTGTTTTTATTCTTAGAACATTTTTGGGTTCTAAGAACATGTCGTGGTATGCCTATAGGCATGCCAGGACGGTCGGTCCCTGCTCAATTGTGTGTGTGTGTGCCCGCGCCCCAGGAGTTGTCCCAGGGCCTGCTCGGCTTCTCCCAGGCTGCCCATGGCCGGCGGTGGGAAGGGCTCGCCCCCCGACCGACGTTTGGGGTGCCTGGTCGTCGCCGTCAGGGTCGTCGTTGTCGTCGTCGTCTGTTCGTCCATTCGTCGTCGTCGTCGTCGTTGTTGCCGTCGTCGTCTGTTCGTCGCCGTCGCCGTCGCCGTCGCCGTCTGTTCGTCGTCGTCGCCGTCGTCGTCGGCGTCGTCATCGTCGTCTTCTGGTCGTCGACTTCTGGTCGTCGTTTTCTGTTCGTCGTCGAGTTCTGGTTGTCATCGTCGTCGTGTCATAGTCGATTGGTCGTCACTTGATCACCGCCCTCTAATCGTCACCGGAGGGGGGTTTGGATAAGGCGGGAGGAGGAGGGGAAGAGGGGGAGGAGGAAGACGACGAGAGGAAATGGAGCCTGTTGAGGAGGAGAGGAGGAGGACTAGAGATCGTGCCTCATCTCTCCTGGCTCCATCTCGGCCTCTCGCTGTCTCTCCATCCCTCTATTCCCCTCCCTCCACTCTCGCCAGGGCGGCGCCGGAGGCGCGAATCCAAGGAGTCCGCGCAGATCTGCCAAAGTCTGACGTTGATGAAGACTTGTATTAACTCATGCCCCAGACCTTCACTCCCTGCAGAGTCTCTCCTGCAGCAGAGTACTGCACGGGACCGGCCCTCCTCACTTTCCCCGCCGTCGTGTGCCCACGTCAGGGGTTCGATCGTGGACCTCCTGCTGATCGCAGCCATCGAGCTTCCGCGCCGGAAGCCGCCGCAGGCCGCCGGAAGACAGCCGAGGACCGTCGAAGACCGAGGAGGAGGAGGAGGAGGAGGAGGAGGAGGAGGAGGAGGGACCGAAGGGCAACGAGGGACCGTTTGCCGAAGACGGCCCCCGCGCGCAGCAGCGCCCGAAATGCTTCGGGGGGCGCGCGGCGCGATCTCTCCGCTCGCCGCCTCCGCTGCGGGGTCGCGCCCTCCCCGCCTCCTCGGCGACTGCGGCGCCTCGTCGTGTTCGCGCTGCCACGCGCGAGGCCCTGCAAGATGGCGGACTTCCATCTCGCTCTCTCTCTCGCTCTCTCTCTCTCTCTCTCCCTCTTTCCCTCCCTCTCTCTCTCTTCCTCTTCCCTCGATCTCTTTGCAGGTCTATGCCACCTTCGGATGCGAAGGAGAGTAAGGAGGCGTGGGGGGGCAGGGTCGTCGTCAGTATGCGAGGCTCGCGTGATGAAAATATGAAGCTCGCCAGAGGCGCAGGTTTTCGCGGAAAGGGCTGGGGCCCAGGGTCTCTACTGGACGCTTAACTAGGCCTCTTAGATGGGGTCGGAGTAGATGGGGTCGGAGAATCGCGCCGCATCGGCGATGCATCGCCGATGCGGCTCGATGTGGAGCCCGCTTTGCTTCACGTCGACGTTGCCGATGCAACGCCGACGTCGCCGATGCATCGGCGATGCAACGGCGATGCAACGGCGATGCATCGCCCATGTATCACCGATGCGGCGCCATCCTCCGACCCCATCTACTCGGACCCCATCTGGGAGGCCTCTAGGTAAACCTGTCCCCCGGTGCCATGATTGAGAAGGGCTGGTGAATTACCGATCGGTACACAACGAAGTGTAAAGTGCAAGGTTGGGTCGAAGAAGTGCGTGCCGCGCGTGCCCGCTCAAGGGGAAGTCGCCCCCCATCTCGGGCCCTCGATAGATTATAGGGTCCTCAGACTCCCGTTGCCCCTAGTAAAAAATCAGGGTGCGGAGCGTTTTGCGTTGATTATTTGATTTATATTGATCTTAGGAAGAACAGCCAGAAACCCAAGAATGTGACAATCAGTGGAAGAATGTGTGCTCTTTGCGTGCCCGCTCGAGGACGGCGCGTCCTGCGCCCCAGGATGCCCCGAATCGTTCTGGGAGTGCGATCGCAGCATTACTTTGCCATGGGTCGTGGCCATGGGAGCGCGGACGCCGGGTGATTTTCAAGGGATCTTGGCCCCGGGAGCGCGGGCGCAGTGTAGTCTGCAAGAGCTCGTGGCCCCGGTGGGGCGAACGCCGCAGAACTCATGAGGGATCGGGGCCCTCGGGGGCGCGGACGCGCTGCAGTTTACGGAGGGTCCCGGCCCTGGGAGCTCGGCTGCCGCGCAATTCGTGAGTGATCGTGGCACTGGGAGCGCGGGCGCAGCAGAATTCACAACGGATCGTGGGCCCAGGAGCGCCCAAGCATCGTTACGCACAAGGGATCGTGCCCCTGGGAGCGCGGGCGTCGCGCAGTTTATAATTTGCGAGGATCCGCGCTTTCGGGCCCAGCGTAAAATGGCGGGGGGGCGACAAAGCGCCTCCCCGAACACAGATCCCAAAGACGCCTACGGCGAATCACCGCCGCCCCGTGACTCCTTGGAAGCGCCCATGTGGCCGAATGTCGTGGCCATGGCGCGGGCAATCTATCGGACTATCTCTTCCCCAAGCCTTGGTGGAAACCCTTCGGGGAGTACGCTGGGGAGAAATAAGAAGAAGAGGAAGAAAAAGAAGAAGAAGAGGGAGGAGAAAGGAGGATGAGGCTTCTCTGGAGCCTATGGGGGCACTCTTGGGATCTCCTGGTAGCCTCCTGGGGGCTTCTTGGAGGCCTTTTGGAGGCCTGCTCGGGCCTCTCAGGGGCATTTGGGAAGCTTCTTGGGGCCTTTTTGGCCGTCGTAGGGCGTTCCTGGCACGTCGGATGCAGTCGGAAGCCGTCTTGGGGGCCTCTCTGGGCTGTTTTTGGGCCTTCTCGGGGCGCTCCAGGGCCGTCTTGGAGGCCATCTTAGGCGTCTTGGAGGTCTCGTGGGCTGTCTTGGAGCCTCTCAGGCGCTCTGGGGGCGATCTTGGGGACCATCTTGGGCCGTCCTGGGCCGTCGGAAGGCCGAAAGGGGGCAGATGCCAAAATCCTTCAAACACATACGGACAAACATTGCTGTTGGCCTCTTCGGGCCCTCTTGGAGGGGGGGAGGGGGGGGGGGGGGGGGGGGGGGGGGGGGGCGAAACGCACCCCCAGGATTGTTGTCTGGTATGGGGAGGGGGCTTTTCGGGGTAACTTCCGCGGAGTGCGTCGTGGACCTGGGAGCGCGGACGCAGACTAATTTGCAAAGGATCTTGGCCCTCTGAGCGCGGAGGAAGCGCAATTCTTGACGCTTCGCGTATCCCCACCAGCTGGCGGGGCTCTGAACGCTGGTGGTTGTGACGAGGCCTCCACGCGACGTTCCCCCCTGTCTTCGGTGGTGGTGGTCGCCACTCGGGATTCACGACATGTCCACCGTCGATGGATTCAGTGACGTCCCGCCTTCGAGCACTTGGTGCTCCGTGAGTGAGGCATCCTTTCCCCCCCCCCCCCCCCCCTCCCGCCTCCTTCCTGTCGCCCTGCTCATCGCCCGGCTTTCGGGCGCTGGCGCCACTGCGTCGCCCCGTTTGCTGTCGGTCTCCCTGGGCCGTTTCGGCTTGCTTGCACGTGCGACCGGCTCTCGACGGTGGCCGCTCTGTTTCTCTTTGGCTTTGTGCTATCGTCTGCCCGTTTTCCCGAATCTGTTCTGCATGTTCGCGTGTGCGGTCGGCTGTTGACAGTGACAGCTGGGTTCGCAAATTATCTGGCTCTGTGCCCCAGTCAGCCCGATTGACACGCCCTCTGGACTCTTCCTTGCGGGCCGCAGATCAAACAAAAGTATCCCCACCAGCCCATCCAGTAACGATGCCCAGGCGAATGGAGGTGATCAGGGAAGTGAGGGAGCATACAGAGTAACAAAGGGCTGGGGAACCCGTCTTACCCAAGACGGCGAGGATGGAGGAGGAATCGGAGGAGGATGAGGAGGAGGAGGAGGAGGGTTTGAAGGAGGAGGAGGGGGAGCAGGAGGAGGGAGGAGGGAGGAGGAGCAATAGGCGGATGAGGAGGAGGAGGAGGAGCAGGACGAGAATGAGGAGGAGGATGAGGAGAAGGGCGAGCAGAATGGCCAGAGGCCTCTTGGATGCCTCTCGGAGTCTCTTCGGATGTCTCTTGGGAGCGTCCTGAAGGCCTCTTAGGGCGTCTTGGGAGCGTCTTGGCGGTCCCGGAGGCCTCTTGGGGAGCCTCTTGGGGACCTCTTTGGGCCATCTTGGGGCCATCTTGGGGCCATCTTGGCGCCTCTTGGGGCCTCCTGGGCGCCTCTTGGGGCCATCTTGGAGGCGATCGATCAAAGAAGAGGGTGGGGTTAATCAGCCCCGCCCCTCTAGATCCTCTAAAATCGCCTCTTGGGCTCATCTTGAGGCGCTCTTGGAGCGCTCTTGGGCGCTCTTGGGGCCGTCTTGAGGCTCTCTTGGGCCCCTCTTGGGGCTATCTTGGAGCCATCTTGAGGCCTCGGAAGGCCATCGGAGGCGAAACGGCGAGAAGGCACAAATCATTGGTTTTCCTTAGGTTTTTGAAGGATTTTGGCTTCTTGGGGGGCCTCCTTGGGGAGATAATTGGCTTCTTGGCGCTGTCTTGGAGCGTTCTGAGAGCGTCTTGGAGCATCTTCGGAGCCATCTTGCGGCATCTTAGGCTATCTTGAGCCATCTTGGAAGCCATCTTGGACAATCCGAGGCGCTCATGGAGCCATCCTGGGCCATCTTGGACACTCTGACCGCTCGCGACCGGGCCCGTCCAGGTCCAGGGGAGGGGGTTAGGGGGAGGGGTAAACCCCTCCCCGAAGGGGAAGAAGGGAAGATGGAAGAGGAAACTCCCTAAACCACCTGCGCCCAGAGGGCTGGTGGGATTCATTAGGGATCGCGGCCCTGGGAGCGCGGACGCAGCGTATTTTACAAGGGATCGGGGCCCTGGGAGCGTGAACCCCGAGTGATTTCCAAGAGATCTTGTTTTTGGGAGCGCGAAACAGTTGTAAGTTGCGCGAGGTCGTGGCCCTGGGAGCGTCACCCCCATGTAGTTTACAAAGGAGCGCTGCCCTGGGAGCGCGAATCCAGTGTAGTTCACGATTGGGCTTGGCCCAGGAGCGCGGACGCATCATAAATCGACGAGGGATCGTAACCTTCTGGCGCGTTCC